CAGTTGATAAGTCTTCTTGGACATAATCCTCATGCTATGCTCAGATCCTCTTTTATAAAGGTGAAAACCAAAACCAACACAACTGATGTTTTGCATAGCTAATCCAAAACCCTTGAGAAAAATCAGAAATAGTGACAAGATATAATTCATATATTAGGAAATCTACTGGATATACTTAATAGAAAATCCACGTTCAGACAGGTTTGGTAAGACACACACACCACACACACGCACACACACGCACACACACACACACACACACACACACAGAGAGAGAGAGAGAGAGAGAGAGAGAGAGAGAGAGAGAGAGAGAGAGAGAGGACACAGAGGTGAAAGGGCTCTGGGCATAAGTCCATGGGTGGCTACATCACTCCATCCATCCATCCATCCATCCATCCATCCATCCATCCATCCATCCATCCATCCATCATCTTTGGAGCATCAGCCAGGATGAATTAAGATATACAAAGTTAACAGACTTTATTTCTAGAGGCTTTTAAAAAGCAGAAATGCCTGGGCATGCCTTTAATCCAGCACTTGGGAGGCAGAGGCAGGTGAATTTCCGTGAGTTCAAGGCCAGCCTGGTCTACAGAGTGGTTTCTAGGACAGCCAGGGCTTCATATAGAAACCCTGTCTTGATGGTTGGAGGGAAGAAAAGGAAAGGAAGAAAAATGAAAAAAAAAGCTAAAGTATGTATTTTATCTTTCATGCTATCTCTTCTTTAGGTCAGTTAAGGACCTTGGGTAACAAAACCACTGTCATACAGAAGCTTGCCGATCTCTTTGTGTCAGAAGGAAGCAAGAGCTGTACAATGTGGTGCGACTGCAATTTTATGCTCTGCTTCAGAAACACCACAGACAATTTCTAGTCACAGCCCACTGAAGGAACCCTACTTGTCTATTTATCTTCCTGTCTTAGGGCTTCTGTTGATATGAAAAAAAGGCACCATGTTTAAAAGCAACTTGGCATAGGAAAGGGTTTATTTTACCTTACATTTATACATCAGAGTCCATCATCAAAGGAAGTCAGGGCAGACACGGAAGCAGAGGCTATAGGGAAGTGATGCTCACTGCTTTGCTCCCACATCTTGCTTAGTCTGCTTTGTCATATACCAGACTGTCTGCCCCAGGGTGGCACCACCCATAATGGGCTAGTTTTTCCTCATCAATCACTAAATTAAGAAAATGCTCCACAGGCTTGCGTATAGGTCAACCTTATCAAAGTATTTTGCTCCATTTTGGTTCCCTCTAGATGACTTTAGCTTGTGTTAACCAAAAAGCAAGGCAGGGGACTGGCCTTTTACAGGAGGCCTACTGGTTGCAATTTTACTGTATGCTTGAAGGACAGAGTAGAGACATCTAGTAAGCAGCACCAATATCAAGCTGGCAATCACCTCCAACTCATCCCCTGCCATCCAGAGTAAGCATGCTCAGAAGAGATGAATTATCACTATTTTTAACAGCAAGGAAATCCAACCAAACATCCCCTACAAGAATACCTTTATTTACACAAACTAGAACTAAATCATATAACCACCCATAACTACTCCTTGTTAGAAGGAATAGGGTTAGTAAAGCTGTCTCAGATCAATTGGAATACACCTTTTAGAAATAAGGATTGGGGCACTTTCCCCATAGCCTTGGGGCTCAGGAAAGATGGTGTGGTTATGAGGAAAGATGCTTCTTTTCTGGAACATTTAAATGGGTCAGATCCACAAATAAGAGATGTTTCAATATTGTCAAAAATCGAATGTTGAAACAAAAAGTAAAAATGGGATGGCGTTAGGGGGAAACATGGGAGAGGGTAAGTCACCCGGGCAACCCTAAAAAATGAACAAGCAGCATATCAATAAAATCAACAAAAATCAGGTCAATTATAAAAAGGGCTAGAATAAATAACTTTGAATATGTTAGCCAACACTTTCTGTGACTCTGTTGATGTCATTATCTGAGAGCTCAGGCATTCACAACTTATTTGCCCCAACAGAACCTAGTCAATTTTCCTTTATCTGTGCCATTGATGAAATCTCGATAGAGTCTTGCATGAGAACAAGTTACTCTTCTACCTTGGAGAGTGGTCAGATACACAAATGGGGCTTCTGGATTAATGAAGGAGACAGAAACACTAGAGGACAGGAAGAGACTGGCTTAGAAACCACATACAGTATTCGCATTCAAAAGTGGGGGAGTTTCTTTCTTCAAATACACTTTCCTGAGTACCAAGTACATGTGCCAATTTTGTCCCCCCACCCCCCACCCCCAGCCTTCTGCTCTTGCCTTGGGCAGACCTCTCAAAGGCACTTCTGCCTGACTACTGTGAACTCTCTTGAGCCTGCTGCTCTGGATGACGTAAGAATACCGTCTCCATTGTAGGTAGGCATCACCCCTCACATGCCTGTCCCGTAGCTTCATTATGTTGCACCTAGGTTACAGCTTCCAGACTGCTTTCCCTGTGTCCAGGCCAGTCAGTGTTCTGTCTTCCAATAGACATGAAGAGGCAACAAGCCTATAAATATGATGGCATCTTCTATTAAAACCCACTGATATTTTCCATGCTGCTGCCAAACACATACAAATTCTTTGGCAGGGCCTACAGTGCCTCCTGGCTGCCCTCTTTAAAAGCCCCTCTAAGGCTTTCACCGTTGTGTGTGCTTGCTTTGCTCACCCACCCTGTTTCTCCCAGTTTCCCTGTCTGCTGGAAAAATCCTTACATTCTTGCTTGTTTTTCAAACTCCTAACCATTCTTCACCGGGCATTTCATCAGCACCCTGAGAACTGTATTTGAACCTTACTGCTCCCCTCCTGGGCTATGCTAGAAACCTGTATCCTGCTTTCAGAATAGGCTGTGTCCATCTCTGCCATGACACTAACATGCCACGGAGAAATCATTTGAGTGTCTCTGTAAATGAACTCCTGAGAGAAGGGACTGTTACTCCTTATCTTAGCACTTACCAGTATGCTTGGCAGGATTGGCACTAAAAATGATTGTTAACAGAGCCATTAAGAGACGAAGCTGAGGAAATAGGAGGAAGTGCCAAGGAAGAGGAGGAAGGAGGAGGGGACTGAGAACGAGCAGCACATGTAGACTTTCTAGACCAGTCGGCCAGAGAAGTCCCTCTTTTCCCATCTCAGGTAAAAATGTCCCTCTGTGTCTTGGGCTCCAGGTTTCAGCTCCAGTTCAGCCCATCCGTTTACCACCAGTCTTCCTGAATGCTGAGCATTTGTTTGAGTCACACCCTGAGCAAGACTGAGTGGACTACTTCAGGCAATTTCTTTGTCGCTATCATTCCAACAGTTTGCCTCTGTCTCCCACCAAAGTTCTCAGGACGCCGGGCTGGCTGCTGCTCCTCTTTTCTGGTCTCCCATCTTCTCCAAGAACACACACCAAACTAAGACTCTGACTCCCTCTTGGGGTGGCCACATAGCTTAGAAAGTCAGACTCGTGAGTCTCCATTCAGCCAGCCTGGTCTCAGGGAATGCTTACTTCATCTTGATCAAAAGGGATCGCTTCTCTCACCCACCTTTCTCCCTCAGAGGCAACGACAAGGATATAGGGTTTCCCCCAAAAGAATCTTTAAAACACAGGAAGTTTTATTTTTTATTTATTTATTTTTAACTCTAGTCTCAATGCTAGAAAAAAAGTTGGAGAAAGAGGGAATTCGATCTGTAACCCAGAGCTGGAGCTATTTCACTTCTGCATGAGCCATGGAGGAGAAAGGAGCCTAAGTTCATCGATCTAGGTGGTCCAACAGCCACTTGATCCCTGGCCTCAGTGTAGGAACCTGTAGCAATGGACTTGACCTCTTATCTTGGCTGTGAACATCACCGCTAGGGAGAGGCAGAGGCTTGCAGAAACCCCAACTCGCTTTCTGGCAGCGCAAAGACCAGGCTGAAGTAAAGGGGGAGGGGGCGGGGGGAGTGAGGGGGGGTTGGAAATACTTGACCAGAGAGCTGGAAGGACAATGTCAGACCAGGTTTGACCCTGCGGGTGTCCGGCTCCAGTGGGCTCACTCTGGCCTTGCTCCTGGGTGTGAGTAGTGGGGGTGAGCTCCCTCTTTGCCATCTTTGTCGCTTAACTGGTGTCCCGGCTTTGGTGACGCGAAGCTTCGAGGCGGGGGGGGGGGGGAGAGGAAGAGGCAAAGAGGAGTCCTGCCGAACCCCAACCGGGCGCCCAGGCATGGGAACGTGGGCGGCGGCGAGCGGCTGGCCTCCCTCCCCGCCCTCCCCGCGCGGCGCTCCCGCGTGTGCGGCTGTGTGAGTGCGTGTGTCTCCCTCTCGCCTATCGCACAAGCTCCAGCACTAGTGCAGGCGGTTCCCGGCTCCGCTCACTCGCTCCGGCCGCTGCGCTCCCGCCTAGCCTCCGCCGCCGCCGCTGCAGTCGCAGCCGGGCATGGTGAGTGACTGAGGTGCAGCCGCCGCGCACCCCGGCTGCCCGCCGAACCCCAACCTCAGCCCGAAGCACCATCCTCGGGCACCGAGGCCGGGTGGCTTCCCCAGGGGCTCTCCGTGCGCCCTCGGGCCACCGTCCTAGCCGGGACGCACTCCTCGAGGGCTGAGCGCTCCTTCTCCGCCCGGCTGCCCGCCGCTCCCCGCACCCCGTGACCGCTGCCCCGTCTCGTCCCGCAGGACCTGCCCGGACGGGACCACGCCGCCGTTGCCACCGCCTCCGCCTCCGCCTCCTGGAGCTGCGCTTCGGGGCCGGCCTGAGCCGAGTCGCGCGGGGCCGCCGCTGCCGCGGGCGGGGGATGGGGCTGCCCGCCAGGCGCGCGGAGCCCGCAGGGGGAGCGCGGAGCCGGCGCGCAGCCTGAGAGCCCCGCGCAGCCCGCGCCCTGCCGCTCCGTGCGCTCCCGCCGCCGCCCGCGCCTCGATGGCGCCATCTCCCCGCCGCTGACCGGTCCGCCTCGCCTTCCCAGCCCGCGCGGCCGCCCTCGGAGCCCGGCCAACCTCCGGGGCAGCGGCCTGCAGCCCGCGTCCGCTCGTGCCCTCCCGCCCGGCCCCGCCATGGCGCTGCGCCGCCTCCTGCTGCCTCCTCTGTTGCTGTCGCTGCTGCTGTCGCTCGCGTCCCTGCACCTGCCGCCCGGCGCAGACGCCGCCCGCGGCCGCGCCGCTAACCGGACCCTGAGCGCGGGAGCCGTCGGAGGTCGGCGTGCCGGGGGCGCCCTGGCCCGAGGCGACCGCGAGCTCAACAGCACCGCCCGGGCGTCCGGCGTCCCGGAGGCCGGCAGCCGGCGGGGACAGTCCGCAGCAGTGGCAGCGGCGGCGGCCAGCGCGACTGTTACTTACGAGACGTGCTGGGGCTACTACGACGTGAGCGGCCAATACGACAAGGAGTTCGAGTGCAACAACAGCGAGAGCGGCTACCTGTACTGCTGCGGCACCTGCTACTATCGCTTCTGCTGTAAGAAGCGCCACGAGAAGCTGGACCAGCGCCAGTGCACCAACTACCAAAGCCCGGTATGGGTGCAGACGCCCAGCACCAAGGTAGTGTCGCCGGGACCCGAGAACAAGTACGACCCGGAGAAGGACAAGACCAACTTCACCGTCTACATCACTTGCGGGGTGATCGCCTTCGTCATCGTGGCGGGCGTCTTCGCCAAGGTCTCCTATGACAAGGCCCACCGCCCTCCGCGAGAGATGAACATCCACAGGTGAGAGGCGCTACTGGGTGCCTACTTCGGGTCCCCAGGCCTCGCCCCCTTCTTAACATAGCCCCCTGGCCCTGTCCTCTTCACGCTTACTACTTCTCCCCTTCTGAGTCACTTCCACCGTTGCTTCCTTTAGGAGCATAGGCTCTCCCGCATTCCGTAGGAAGCAGCTAGGTGTGCTTTTGGCGTTAGAGGGATTTGCAACCCAAAGTACCAATCAACAGAGTTCATGATGTTCAAGGATAAGAATGCCACCAATTTCCCAATCCCCGGGCTCGGTTTTTCATAGTGCGTGGACACTTTACTATGGGCTGTACTGTACTTAGTTTTTTGCTTGTTTGTTTATTTATTTATTTATTTATTTAAACTGGAGTGTCACTTTCATATAAAGAACAGAGCAGTGTGGGCACCTCACAGAAAAGAATAGCGAGATGGTTATTGTTCCCAGGTGTTAAGTGCAGGATGGCGCGGAAAAGGTGGTTACCTCTGCTGGGGAGAAGGTTCTCCTTGACAGAGCAAGCACAGAGTATAGGTCTTCCAGTGGGGTGCTTGTCTTTCTTGATGAGGCTGGAGGACTTCTCCCAAGGCAGACTTCCCTGAGTTAACACTACTATAGCATTCAGGCCATCTTTTACTGCACACATGGTAAAGGCCGTGGGGACTGTCCCCTTCTAAAATGGCTAACAGGAGCTGAAAACCTGATAGTCCACAGTCCCACTCTGATTTTCTCCCACCCGTGTCTCTGGCTCCCAGGGAGATCATTGGAAAGTCAAAGCCAAAGGGACAACAGGAGCCCAGCCTCTCCTTTAGGAACTGCACAGGCAGAGGATGCGAAGTCAGCTGTGCTTCCAGCGTCCCCCGTGAAGATGAATGGTTGGATGTGGCTTCAATGAAAGCCCTGCCCCAGGAAACACTTCCATTTCTGGCACACAGAGTGGGCATTGCCCTAGTTCCCAGGCCCAGCCCCCAGCCCACTGCTTGTGAGTTGACCCACCAAGCCTGGCCTGGTCCATCCACCTTTAGCTCTTGTCTGCACATTGCTTATTATATCCACGGTTTGAAAACCTCCTCCCTGTCACTGCTCTGAACATTAATCACCCCAACCTTGCTGAAAAGAGGAAGGCAGGCAGAAATTTCTAGGCATGCTGGAAGAGCTGATTCTGCCTGCCCTTCCCCCTCTGATCTAGTGGGTGTTGAGCGAAGATGACACGGACTAGACTTGGGTACACTCTAGAGGGAGCATCCCTTCCTTCTTAACCCCTCATTACCTGACCTTGCCATCACGGTCTTTACTCTCACATCTTTCTCAGCATCTCCTTGGACTGGAACTAGGCTGTGAGCAATAGTCTGTGGTTTCCATGCCTTGCTATGTAGAAGATGGGCACTGTGAACAAAATAAGAGCAAGACACCACTTCCTAGGAGTTTGTTTGGTCTGGCAGTGAATTCTCTCCTGACTCAGTCTGCAAAGCAAAGAACGACTCAGGGGCAGGGGCCTTTCTGAAGCAGATGTGCATTGTTCCTCATGTGTTACCTCTGACCCAGGACTCAGAGACTCATCTTCTCTTTCCTGTCTTATCTCAGTAAACCCACGCTCTGACTCTCACCACTTTCTAGTTGATTCCCACAAATATCTCTCAGGGTTCCTCCCTGCCTCCTCTACCCCCCCCCCTCCATGCCTTATTCAGTTTGTTTAACACTGCCTGTGTTGATAAGGTTGTGGCCTCAGAGATTAATTCGACATTGCCATGCGGTTCTGGAGAAGTCACTTGTTCTTGGTGTTTCCCTCTTCTTCCCCACACATTCTCTCTGTCTCAATTTGGGGGGGGGGGAGCAGTTTCTGAGGTTGGGAGAAGGAGAGAGTGAATCGTGGGGAAAGAGCTGAATTTCAGGCCTCAGATCTTTATGTAAATAAACGATGTTTCTCCCTCAAATTCACCTCCTGATTTCATTCAGTTCACAGCACCTCTCCAGCAGCTGCAGCCTCGCCTGATGGGTACTTCGGAAACCATCATTCTGGTACTTGGTGGATAGGGGACAATGCTTATCAGTACTATTGGTGAGAAGGCGGGGGCTGGGGTTAGGAGGCCAGTGGTCATTAAGGACACTCAGGACTGACCTTGAGTAGGTTAAGGTACTTCTTTTTCAGTTCTGGCAAGGTAGCATATCACCTAGACCTTTACCTTCCCAGTGTGTCAGGGTGAATGTCCATATCACTCTCACAGGCTCCTCTGGGCTCCAGTGGGAGGGGACTTATCTTCCTCTGATTATACCTCAGAAGTCATTGCTTGCCACACCTGGGGAGGGATGGGGAGTTGTGTATTCTGTGTTGTTAAGAGAGGCAAGGTAGGGGGAAAGGGTGGTGTTGTAAAAGATATGTATTCACAGTAATGAGTTTTTCCTAGGGAAAGTGGGGAGAAACAAGGATGTTCATGATCAGAGAGGTTTAGTAGGGAGATTGGATGTGCTTCAGCACCATGCTTTTTGAAGTAGTGAAGCCGAGATGAGTCCTCACTGAAAGGGAGAACAGAGCTGTTGCAATGTGTGAGTCTCCCTGAAGATAGGCAGACTTGGACCCTTCCTGCCCTGGGGCAAGCGGTCCTGAGTCTGAGGAAGTTTCAGGGAGGAAAGTCCCACTTCAAGGGGATATTGTGGGAGTTTAAGAAAAGATGGGAGAGGGATAGGCCATCTGCTCTGCCTTGGTGCTTGCAGGCTAGGCAGCCCTCTGCTTGCCATCCGCATGTGTATTCCTCATGGATCTTGCATCTCTCCCTCCCTTGTGGGGAAGAACAGATTTTGCTTTTTCTAGAAGTGATTAGCCCTTGCTAGCATGATTCCAGTCAGTGTCTGGAGGGGAGATAGCCAACTCTTTGGGGATTCTAAGAGACAGACCTGTGGGAATGATGGGAACACACCTATATCCAGCTGTTTGGGCTCTGGGGAGGAGAAAGTGATGTTAGATCTGGATGAGAGTGTCTCACCTTCCAGGCTGGAACACCAGTTCTATCAGAAACTATATCCTTTTCTCAGCCCTGCTTTAGAACTTCCCAGATTAAGGCTGGAAGCACAGCCATCCCTTGATTGTCCTGTTTCCTGAGTGTCCCTGAGGTTGTTACCTGGGGCTGTGTGCCTAGAGAATGATGGCTATGTCCTCCAGGAGTATGGGCTCTGCCCAGCATACAGCCTAGGAGCCTGGCCCCTTTTGACATTCTGTTCTGCCCTTAGCTGTCTCACATCCAACATATCCAAACCTATTCTTCATCCTCACCGTGAGCTGATTCATTAATGTCTCAGAGATGGGAATCGCTCTAAGGAGGAACCGTGTGGCTCCTTTTTAAAGTGGCTAATTAACAGATGGGTTAGGGAGGTATTCTGTAGACACAGTTGGTGAAGTCAGAGGTGCCTGTGCAGGGCTGGGAGTATGATGGAAGGTAGGCAGGGAAGATGGGAGGATGCTCAGAGAAGCAGAGCCGGGGTATATGTCATCAGGAGAAGAGGAGGATATTAGGAGGTAACTCATCCAGAGTCGCTCTCCAGATTAACTTTCTGATTTCTACAGTAGGCCAGGAAAAACTTTGCTTTGCCTTTTCTCTGTCTGGATGTCAATTACAAGCCAGGAGAGCTCTGCTTTCTGTTTCAGGCCAACATTGCCACAACAGGACCACTCCAGAGCTGAGCAAGTAAAGAACTCTTTCTGAATACCAGGAGACAAACTGTCAAATCCTCTCAAATACTCCAGTTTTAGACGTGAGCTCTCCATAATGAATTGATCTGAACAGAGCCAGCTTGGTTTTGTTTTTTTCAAAATAAATAAATAAATAAAAACCCTCCAAATACACAAGGTTGGAAGGAAAGGGGAAAAATAAATCTTGCCTTGGGCTGAAATTCTTTACCCTTTTTGTGTTTCCCTTTCCCTGTGAGTTTAAAAAAAAGTGTACATAGGGAAAGCTAAGAAATTTCAAAAGCTTTATGAAGGAAGGTTAGGGCCAGGACCCCAGGAAGGCAGAAAGACGATAACAAAACTAAGAAAGAGATTGGATAAAAGGTTGATGGTTATCACGGAAGCGACAGAGCGGCACCATAGACCCTCCCACAGGCATGGTTTTGTTATGGCTCTTGGATGTTTGTGGATACACTGCAAATGAGCCTGCTCACCTTAAGAGGGTAAGCAATTGTTCAAACTCCAAAGCACACTTTGTTGACACTCAAGCTAACAGGCTTCATTCTTGCTTTTAGCAGCACAGCCATGCAAATGGTCTTCAACAAACCTGAGACCTTGACAACACTCTGGAGTCTTGCTGCTCACTGTCTTCATGTTTCTTTTCTGCACTGTTCTCAAGCTCAGAAGACTTGCACATCTGCCCCACCCTGCCCCGTCTCAGTGTACATTCATCTTAAGGAATGTGCTGCTTAGAAACCAAGAGCTTTCTCATAGTTCTAGTCTCCTAAGGGACTTACAGAAGACAAAATGTAATTTATTGTTTTCAGCTGACCTGAAGGAGAGATTGCATTGACTGGGGTGTTGGTTTGGATCAATTGTGCAGAAAGCCTCAGTTAAGACATCTGAAATGTGCAATGATTGAAAGAGGTCAATTATCCCAGGCAGATAGACAGACAGTCATGCCTACATACTGGAATAAAAAAGACAGTGATACCTAAAAGAACTTTCCCCATCTAGTTGCATTCGGTGATTTTTCAAGGGCCTGGAAGGGTATTATTTAGGTCTTAATCTTCATAGCCCGGAATAGCCTTTACCTACTGCATGTTGGAGTTAGCTCTCTGTTGCTGTGTATGACAGTTGCCAGCTTCCTTCTTCCCTATGTCCAACCTGTCTACTCAAATTTCTAAATAGCCTGCATCTGAAATCATTAAACCCAAATGTACTTTGCCTTACAGATTTGTCAAGTTCCTTGGCAATATATGTTTTGTGAAATTACAAAATCATGGTTTGCCGTTCTGGCTGTGTAAGATGTCTCACGGGTGGAGAGGGATTCTTACTGGGATA